ATTTTGCCTCGGAAATACAAATGTGGCAAATAATTTTGGACGGAGGGAGTAGAAGTTTTGAAATATATAATTTATAATTTTTATTTGAAAAATTTACCTAAATAGTATTAAAATATAGTGCCTTTGCCAAAGTAGTACCATATATTTTATTTTCCAATGGTACTACCATTATTCAATGTCCACTGGTCATTGTTCAAGTTAAATAATGAGCAGTACTATTTAAAAAGTTTAAATGCTGCATTGAGAAATGACATACTCTCTCCGTCCCAAAAAGTCTTTCCTGTTTCATTTTTTGCGCATCTCATAAAACACTTCTATCCCGCCTTGAATGCCAAAAAAACTTTCAAAATAACTTCTAACCACAATAAAGAAGAAATGTTGTAAATTGTAGGCATTTTAGATATCGGTAGAAGTGTTTTATGTGATGCGCAAAAAATGAAATAGGAAAGACTTTTTAGGACGGAGGGAGTATGTTTAGTGCTATTTAATTCAAATTTCACTTTTTATTTCTATACCAAATTTAAACCACACATACATGATATGCCACATACTTTTTAGAAGCCACGTGGCATGTCATGTGTGCATATTAGATTTTGGTTTTATATTAAATAATCATTATTCTTATTATATTCTATGAAATCTTTCACTTTCAAACTTAAATAATAATGTTGTGAATATATTTTCAACATTGTAACACATTTTTAAATGCAAAAAATATTTTATTAATATAAAAATATTATACAAACTTTAAATTTTTGTACTCCATCCGCCCAAAAAGAAGAACACTTTTCACCTTCCAAAAGTCATATAAATTTTTGTTTCTTTTTTTGATTTATTATTTGATAAAATAAACTATTTTTTGTCATATCTTGTTTTTGCAGAACTTTTGAAATAAATTTTTAAATATATTTAATATGCTCCCGGTTGTGTTCGAGGTGATGATCAAATGCCAAGGTTAAGCTTGAAATCATGAAAGAGGAGAGATGGGAGTCCTTTGGTGAAGATGCCAGCATCTTGAGTGGAAGTCGAGAAGTTTAGCACCCGCACATGCCAAGGGGAGGAACTTTTATGTAAAATTTGTTGAGTATAAGCCTAAAACATACTACCTCCGTTTCTCAAAAGAGTTCCTCTTTTGACTTTGGGGGAAAATAAGGAAGTGTTAAATTGTAGTTGACTTTCCAATTTTGCCCTTGATGTGATGGGTAAAAGTAAGATGTGATAGTTTAGTTGTTAGTGAAAAAGTATGATGTGATAGGTATGGTATGAAAAAGTAGGGGTAAAAGTGGTTTTTTAATAGAAAAGGGAAGTGTTTTAAGAAAAACAAAAAAAATGAAAGAGGAAGGGTTTTAAGAAACGGAGGGAGTACTAGTTTTCCCTATATAGGATTAATAATGTTTTTTTACTTTTCTAAGACTATTTTTAAAAAAACTTCCTTTCCTGCCCCTAAATTCTAGACGACCACTTGTGTGGAAAAAACCAACGCTCCTTTGCAGTTTTTTTATCTATAAATATTTTATTTACATAATTATGGGTTAATTAGCCATTATTTTCGCCTATAGTTTAGGAAAAAAATATATTACTCCACAACCCCTAATTTATCTCCACTCATCAGATTTTGCCTTACCATTTTATTTCTCCTCGGCATTGCTTTCTTCTTGCTCCTCAACATATTTTGCTTTCTGCTTTGCCAATTTTTATTACTTTTAAAATAATATAATAATGTCATTTCTTGTTTTTAAAACATTTTTGCCTATGTTGTGTAGAACCTTTGATATAATTTTTATGTATATACTTTTATTTTTAAATTTTACACCAATTTTTTTGAAAAAGTGAACTGAAAACAACTTTAGTTAACGTAGCACGTAACTGAAAACAAATTTTTTTATCAAATAAATAATAAAATTTGGCGTAAAAGTTCTTATTTCCATCTTTAAAAAAAATTTGATTCATATTTTTTCTTTTTCTTTTTTTACTTCATTATTTTTTACTACGCAATTCACTCTTTTTTAAACTTCAGGTTGTATCAAACTAGGACATTTCTTTTTTAGAAGGGAGAGTAGTAAACATGATTTTTTAGTACATACTCCCTCCGTTCCTAAACAGATAACAATTTTTTTTCTCTCTTCTCGATAACTTTTGTTTGTTTACGCGATTTCATTAAGCATTTGATAAAATAAAATATTCTTGTCACCTCTTGTTTTGTTAAACTTTTGACATAGTTTTTTAATATGTAATTTTTATATCTTATTGATATACCAATTTGTAAATAAAAGGGTTTCAAAATGTAGGAAATTTTACTTTGTAACCCACAATTTGTAATCTATTTAGGGACGGAGGGAGTACTTAATTCTTGTTACATACCTCGATTCACGTGGTAATAGACTATAATTACATCCTTGATTATACAATCGTCTGAAGTCAATTAATCTATTAGAAATCATCCTAAATAGGACTAAAACATAGGGAAAAGTACCAAAATAGGACTTTCATGTTTTTTTCCGGAATAGGACTTCACACTGTGGTAATGTGACTTTGCATTGTGGTAATGTGGCAGTGCACATGTGCAAATTACTATACTTTTTTGGTAATATATATGACCATGTTCGGTAATGTAAGTCCTATTTTGGAAATAAAAACATGGAAGTCCTATTTTGGTATATTTTCAATTTTTAGTCCTACTTTGGTATTTCTCCCTCAATCTATTTGTCTTTCAGGTTTCCATATTGTCCTTACCCATAAACTAATTTCATGGTGTCTTTAGTTTGAAGTCATTAGCCCATAACATAATGTCCTTGTGGTTGTAAATTTACACTACATAGGTCATTATGTAGGATATTTTGAAGCTATTTTACACTACATAGGTCATTTTCCTAGTAAATAGTATCATCATCTCATCACGATCAGCCATATTAATCAAATATCTTGTTACATTACAGATCACTACTTCACAATTCATTTTTGCCACTCTCCTTCTACTTACTTTTCTTATTTTTTTACAGAAATAAACAGTTTATTACAATTTAGAAAGAAACTTACAAGAACATAGGACTTAACCAAAATCCCTAGAGGAAGTTTAAAGCAAAACCAAAAGCCAAAATAATCCCTAATTTAAACCAAGACTTTAAGGACCAAATGCCAAAGTAGGAAATCAACACCAGAAAGCCCAATAAAATATTACGAACCAATAACCATAATAGAAAGCAAAACAAATTGTCCTTAGTTTTGGCCCTTGCTTAGGTGCAAAAGCCATTATCAACACAATAATATATCCAATTTTATTGCCTTGGCTAACATTTAAGAAAAATATTTAGCACCAAAAAAACAATATCTAAAACTAGTCCCAACAACTAATGACTAAGCCAACCATCAATGCAGTATTGACCAACAATACAAGGGACTTTAGAATACACTTGATACGACATAAATCAATGTGCATACCCAATTAAAAACAACATCAATGACCATTATAAAAAATGAAGCTCAACCCCAAAGATCTAATGGGAAGGTGCAATGTTTAATAATGACGTGGCACCCTATCAGCCAAAGAACATCACCGATGTCGAACTCTGAATTCCAACACCAAAATTAAACCCTCTTGCGTAACACCAACCAAAAATCATTTGTAGAAACATTCTATTGACACTTCTCGATCTTAAACATGCACTTTCATTTGTCCTGTTCAAACTACATAGCGAAAACTCATTAAAGTACTTGGTCCATAGCAATTGGTCAGTAAGAGCAAATGCCATTGTTTCTATAAACTGGCTAACGAAGACATTTTGTATACGCGATCATTGTCATTAAGGGCAATATGTGAATTATAAATGATTACATTTTGAAAAATTATAGTGTACATACAAAGATGGTGTATTAAAACACGAGTCATAGCATCAAGGACAATCTATTTAAGGGGTGTGTTAAAACATGAATCATAGTATCAAAACAATCTACTTAAGCATTTTTTTAAGAGGCAATTATTTTAAAGACCATCGAACAACTCACTTTTTACATAAGATCCCTAAATTAAAGATGGTAACATCATTCTTGTTTTACAGCAAGTACGATAAGTTCAACATTAATCACAAAAGAACCTTAGCATGAGGACAATTCCATATAAATAGCTTTTAAGAATTTTTTTTAAATGACAGAGAGCACACAAATACAAAATGTGAAATTTGCACTAAATAGGACTTAAACATAAGTTTTTTCTCAAAATAGGACTTAAACTTTTTTATTCCCTAAATAGTACTTAATAATGTCTAATGAGAGAATTAATGTCTAGTGATGGTGGATATTTACTTGAATAATGACTAATGGATAATGACCAATGGTCTTACATTGGAAAATAAAAACATATGGAAATTTGCACTAAATAGGACTAAAACATAAGTCATTTCTTAATATAAGACTTGAACTTTTTATTCCCTAAATAATACTTAATAATGTCTAATGAGAGAAATAATGTCCAGTGATGGTGAACATTTACTTGAATAATGACTAATGGATTATGACCAATGGTCTTACATTGGGAAATAAAAACATATGGTCCTATATTGAGATAGTCATTATGTTTTAGTCCTATTTAGATAAATTCCCCATACAGAATTGAGGCAATATACACTTAGAGGGACAGTGGATAACACCTTAACACTTTAATGCAAAATTTATTATGTCATAATAATGACTAAATTCTTACTATAATCCTTTATCAATGCAAAATTTTTAAGGAAAATGTTTATCTTACCTTTAAGGGCAGCAGTTAAATGAGGCTTATGCACAATGCTCTTATCACTATAATGTCTAAATTATTACGAAGACATTATGTGCATGCACAATGTCTAAATGAAACCAGTTAAGGCTATCTTTTTTTATCACAACCATACACAAAGACCTTACTTTCTTTAATTCTCAATGGTTAATCATACTTTTATACTCTCCCTATCAGTAATTGAAAGTAAACAATAAATTAAAGTGTTTACAAACCCTAGATAAGGCCTCACCGGCATAGTTGTATGGTTAACGGCGGATTATTAATCTTTGTGCTCGAAGCAAGTCGCCATTAAATCTCCTGCCTTCCTCAACTTTGCTTCTCCAAATTTCTTCAAAGCAGATCTAAGTACTTCACCTTGAATGAAATTACCTAAATTTTGATTCAAATAAAAGATTGAAGTGCATGTAATGAACGATATAGACCTTGTTAAAGGAGATCTGGTTATACTATGTAATTGGTATTTGGGTTTCTTCCTTTTCAGCCGCCGTAAAATAAGCCTGCAATTTGGGATTGAGTTTTTTTTATTTGTTTCTTTGGAAATAAAAAAAGGGATTTGGGATTATTGCTACGGAGTATTAAATAGATCATAGGGCTAATTTTGTCCTTTGCCCTCATGAAACATAATCCCAATAGGACTAGTCCTATTTAAGGAAAACTACTATGTTTTCGTCCTATTTGAGTAATTTACTCAACTTTTATTAATCTCGGAGCTTGGAGCCATTAATGGAGCTCCAGACTTAAAGAAGAAGAAGAATGAAGAATATATAGTAGTAGGAAGTTGTAGGAATTTGGCCCTTGGTCCCTTCTCCTCTCCGTAGCTTCCTCTTATAGTAGGAGGAAGGAATGAGGTAGTGGGAGACAGTGAATTATGCCTCGGTCCCGCTAAATATATCTTTGGGCCCTTGTCAATATTTATATATCTCATCAAATTATCTTTTTCGTCTTCATATCTCTGGCTCCGTCTTAAATAATTTATCTGATTTATATCTTGGGCCAGATAAAATTGGGCTTTCTTGTACTGTTTAAATAATATTGGATTAGGTAAAATCTCTAATCCATATATATATATATATATGTATGTATGTATGTATGTATGTATGTATGTATGTATGTATGTATGTATATATATATATATACATAGTTGAGCGGATTAATTATGGTTACGATATGTGTATTGCCACGTCATTAGTTTATTGTCAAATAGATTGCCACATCAAGCCATCAACAACGGGAATTTCTCCGGTGCCTTTCCTAATGAAGGGGCATGGATGCCCTCCCACTAAATTGCTTCCATGTGGACTTTTTAGCCACATCATTTTAACTTTTAAAATTGCATAATGGCCCTATCTTTTTATCCTTATTTAATTTAACTCATCTACACATGCTAATGTCATTTAAAAATATTGTTTTTAAATTGAATCAATCATTCCGTTCTAAAAAAAGATTTTAATATGATTTTTTAGGATCGAAATTAAAAACTTTGGCCATGAAATTTAAAAAACAATATGTTGAATAATAATATAAATTTAAACTACTCCCTCCGTCCCAAATTATTTGCAACGTTTACTTTTTCAGCAGTCGCGGGAACTTTTGTTTATTTCTACGTTTTCATTGATTATTTGATAAAATAAAATATTCTTGATACCTCTTATTTCGAAGAACTTTTTCATGTAGTTTCTTGATATGTAAATTTTATTTTTTATTTCTATACCAATATGTAAATAAAATGAATTGAAAAAACTTGATATTTTGCCTAGGGAATACAAATGTTTCAAATATTTAGGGACGGAAAGAGTATTTGATTTGTCTTTAAGTATGATTTTGAAATATCATATTTTGTTATAAAATTTATTAATTATATATATATATATATATATATATATTATATCTTTAATATATATGTGAAGTACTAAATTTCACTTTCATATAATTCATATAAAAATTAAGAGTACTCCCTCCGTCCGAAAATGTTTTTCACATTCGACTTTTATTAGTCAAATTTTGTAAACTATGACTCTAATTTGTGGAAAATATATATTATATTATGATATAAATTTAAGAGTAAATTCCATAATTGGTCCTTTATAACAGGGAAGTTTCCATATTTAGTCATCTGTTATCATATATTACTCCCGTAGTCCTTTTTTAAGGGCGCCTTTCCACAAATGGTCCTTTTTTGATCTTCTGTCATGTCGGTGTTAATTTAAAGGCTAAAAGTATAATTTGACATCAACATTATGTCCAGTGACGTGTTCTGATATTGGTTAAGCGGATAACACAAAAATAATGACTATGATTGTGGGCTAGGATTCCAACGAAAGACCACATTTGTACACTATGGTTGTAGTAGAAAGCGATTATAATTCACAAACGACGTAAACGGAATAGCCTTTAGAATTGTGTATGATAAAAAAGATATATTATCATTGTGAAATTATACTTTTAGCCTTCAAATTAACACCAACATGATAGAAGATAAAAAAGGACTATTTGTGAAAAGATACTCATAAAAAAGACCACTAGGGTAGTATTTGATAGTAGAGGACTAAATACGGAAACCCCCCTGTTATAAAGGACTAATTATGGAATTTACTCTAAATTTAATATCAAAATATTTCTAATGAATCATAATTTTGAAATATCAAAATTTTATAAAATATACCTATGTATAAATATAGTTATTAATGGTCAAAATGTAACATTGGAAATCGTGACAAGTCAAATGAGAAGAAAATTTCCAGATAGAGGGAGTATATAAAGTTTTAATAATTTTTTTCTTTTGATTTTGTCATCAGATTTATTTTGATTTTTCAATTTTTCAATTTTAATTTTTTTTTACTTTAATCTTTTTACATATAATATTGAAATATATCTTTCAAGAAAACTAATTTTAAAAAATAAGTTTTTCTAACAGCCAAGTCCAAAAGATACTCTCTTTGGCTTTACGAATTTTGACTTTTCAGATCAAACTGTCAAGTGAAAAAGCCATTATTCAAACACCAATTTTTGTTGTTCAATTAGTGAGATAACACTTTTTAAACTATTAGGTCTTCTATGTGACACTTTAACCATTAATATGCATGTATGTGTGTGTGTGTGTATATATATATATAATTAATAAATTTTATAAAAAAATATAATATTTCAAAATTATAATTAAAGACAAATCAAATAGTTTAAATTTATATTATTATTCAACATATTGTTTTTTAAATTTCATGGTCAAAGTTTTTAATTTTGATCCTAAAAAATCGAATTAAAACTTTTTTTGGAACGGAATGATTGATTAAATTTAAAAACAATATTTTTAAATGACATTAGCATGTGTAGATGAGTTAAATTAAATACAGATAAAGAGATGGGGCCATTATGCAATTTTAAAAGTTAAAATGATGTGGCTAAAAAGTCCATATAGAAGCAATTTAGTGGGAGGGCATTCATGTCCCTTCATTAGCAAAGGCACCCGAGAAATTCCCATCAACATAATACTTAAAGCTTTAACTCATTGAGTTTTAAAGAAATATAACAAATATACAAGCAACATTTAAAATTTTTAAGATTTTATAAAAATATTTTCTATATCCTTCACATTTTAATTTTAATTACGAAGTAACCATTATTTTATTATTTGATTTATGTAATCCTTCACTTTCTAACTATTTTAAATATATACGGAGTATTTTAGTTCTGAAACATTCATAAGTATGTTGTTACGGAGTATTTAAAATAAGTATTATAAATTTTATTTAATAAAAATACTAATATAATTGTTTATAGTATTTTAAACTATCCACCATTTTTTATTTCATAAAAATACTAATCCAAATTATCTACATTTTTTATCCTATTACATTATTTAATTAATATGATCTAAATGTAAAAATATTGGAAGTATAGAAATTTAAAAAAAAATATTTAAAAGAATATAATCTAAAATTTAAATATAAAAATATTATTAGATAGTTACAATAAATATAATAATATTTTATAAAATCTTAAAATTTAAAATATGTTCTAGCCCGTGCGAAGCGCAAGGTTACCACTAGTATAATCATAATTTTGGGGCAGATGGATAGAAAGGTGATAGTTAATACTCCTTCCGTCCCGAATTTGATTACAAATTAAGGTTTACAAGGAAAATTTTTCGCTTTTTGAAATAATTTTATTCACAAATTGGTATATTAATAATAAATAAAAATTACGTATTAAAAAATTACGTCAAAAATTCAACAAAACAAAAAGTGACAAGAATATTTTATTTTATCAAATACTTAATGAAATCGTGTAAATAAATGAAAAATATCTAGGGAAGAAAAAGAGGATTGTAATCAAAATAGGGATTTATGGATTATGAATATTACTATCAAATGTACTTGTAGACCAATTGAGATAATTTGGGAGTTTAGTGGGAGAAGATTCTTTTTTCTTCTTTAGCTTGAAGCCTTGAAACATTTTAGAAAATTGCTAGGGGTACACCAAATATGTATCCCATTTGTCCCTCATCCCCTCCTTATCCCACAAAAAGGGCAAGAAATTAAAAAAAAAACAAATAAATAAAAATAAAATAAAAATGGATGGTAACAAAGGGGTATTGTACATTTGAGGTACATCTTTGGTGTACCTCTAGCATTGCTCACATTTTTCAAGGCAACTACTTTTTCACAAGTATCGGCGGACAAGATGAGTGGATGGCACGAAAACCCTCTATTATCATTTGTGCTGGCACGCTACTCCGCTCCAATAATTATTATACCATTATTGTGCATTCCAATTTGCAAATTAACGGGATTAAACTATTAAAGAATCTCATAGTCCGTAAGTGATACTCCGTCCCATAATAATTGTGGCAATATGCCACTCAAACCTTTTCGAGCTTGTTTTATTTGATCAAAGATATTCTAACAAATCGAAATGTAAGACAAACGTGTAGCAAGTTACACTGTTAATCTTTTTGAATTATAAAGTTAATTCATTTGAAAATTAGATTCACAAATCTAGAATCATAACATAATTATACATGACTCGTTGGATTTTACAAAGCATGCATTAACATAGCCTCAAGCGTGAGAAAATAATATAACGCCCTGAAAACCGGTTTAGTAGTTAATTATTATTTAGAAAAAAATAAATACTCCTTCCGTCCCAAAAAGATCTTCTTGTTTCATTTTTTGCGCGTCTCATAAAACACTTCTATCCCGTCTCAAATGCAAAAAAAACTTTCAAAATAACTTCTACTTACAATAAATGAGAAATGTGATAAATTTTAGGCATTTTAGATGTGTATGTGTTTTATAGGATGCACAAAAAATGAAACATGAAAATCTTTTTGGGACGGAGGGAGTATAATTACTAATTATTTTTATTTTCTGACTCGAAAAATAAACTATTTATAAAGTAAACCTTTTTATTTAAAAATTAAATCATTAGGTAGATCTTGTGAAAAAGTGACTAACGGTATATAATTTATTAAGTTTGGACTTATGTGTAAAAAATTATAAGTAAAATAGACATTATAGTTCAATAAATAAATATAAAGATTTTATAATATAATAATAATAATAATAATAATAATAATAATATACTCCGTATATAAATATCTTAAACTAAACCTCCACGAAACCTCCAAAGGCATGCTGTATAAATACAAACTAACCAATTATATTGAGGAGGGAGTAATATATATTCCCTCCGTCCCCAATTTGATTACAATTTTTTTTCTCTCCTCTCGATAATTTTTGTTTGTTTACGCGATTTTATTAAGTATTTGATAAAATAAAATATTTCTGTCCCATCTTATTTTGTAGAACTTTTGACCTAGTTTTTAAATACGCAATTTTTATTTTTTTGATATACCGATTTGTAAATAGAATGATTTCAAAAAGTGAGATATTTCGATCTTCTCGTAAACCCCAATTTGTAATCAAATTGGGGACGGAGGAAGTATATGAAATAAACCTAAATATGCAGTAGTAGTTACAAATCTCGTATCAATTACAACGGACGGAGAAG